GAGCTCAAGTATTATCACAGATAATGAGGATGACACAGGATATGGCAAGTTTAAGATCCATTGTCTAAGAACAAACTGGGAGGAGGGTAGAGAGAATAGTGCAACAATTAATGAATGGAAGCCCAAAATCTCTGTAAATGTTTATGAAAATTAATAAAATATAATTATAGGGAAAAAAAAGATCCATTGTCTAAGGGGTGTCTGTGAGTTGTAGTTGACTCAACAGACCTAAACACAACAATATAATGTTATCAGTAGCTTTGGGTAAAAGAGTCAACCATATAATATCAAAAGAAGGATCAGAAGGCAAAAAGGAATAATAGAAAAGAAGGATGAGCAAAAATTGGAAACACAGAGGGTAAGTGTAAAGAATGATGTTACACTATGAAAATATCATGTCACAAGACATAATGTACGTAAATTATAAAAATGATCAAATCTACCAGATGTTCTGGTGAAGGAAGAACAATCACCTCCTGTACCAGATCGAATTTGATGGTACACTCATAAAAAATAATAATAAAAAAAATTATCAAAATGAAAAGCTAATTTTGCTCAAATCACAATAAAAGTTATTTTTTTAAAAATGAATTTTTTTATTGCAATGGATAAAATATTTTCAGATAAAATAACCAAAAAGGAAAAAAGAAAAACTTCAAAAGCCTCAAAGTCATTATTTGAATAAACTATGGAATATTCATTTTATTAATTCCCATTCCTTAAAAGTTAACTTTGATCCAAACATTATTGTACACACTGGAAGATAAAAGAAAACTACTCCTCAAAAGAAAATACAGAGAAAAAGTATGCTGCAGTGACCATGAGTGATATGGAAATAACATCCATTGAGCTATGAAAAACCTTTTCTATTTGAAAGTATATAAATACATAGATTTTCTCTATGCAGCAGGCACCCCTGTGGAGGGAGCACTGTGGAAGCACATTTCACATTTCATAAAAAAGAGGCTGTGAAAAATGGAATTCTTTTGAGAACTTCTTTTTTGAATGCATCTCATACATTTTTTTAAAAAATTAGTTACATAACTCTACTCACCTTTTTATAGCTTGGATGTCTTTTCCATCTACCTTTCCCCTTTTAAAGCCTTTTTATTTACATATTCTCACTAAAAGAGAAATAAAACATTTTTTATTGTGTACCCTGGCCTATAATCATTTTTACTAAAGCATAGAAATAAGTTCTTAATATTATATTGCCTTTGAAAAGTCTTTACAAGATTAAATATGTATCATGAGGGCTTATATGAAAGCACCATTTTATAAGATACTTCTAATCTTCTCCTAAATATAAGTGTGTGATTATAATTTTTCAACACTATGTTTTCAAAAGGAGTATTTTAACTTACACTTGCATTTTTGCTTTTTTGTGTGTTCATAAAATGAAGTATATATCCATAGTATATTTTTTTGGGCGGGGGGATTTCATTCATTCATTGTTGCACTGTTTTCTCCACCCTCCTCCCTAGTTTGTTCTTCTTCCCCACCCCCATGTCTGTTTTAATTGTCCAATTGCCACAGTGCTTGTCAAAGCCAGTTCTGATTAATCTCCTTTGTCAGTGTGTCCTTTGCCATTCCCTATCA